ACAAGTATTTAATTGTATATAACGGGAACATACACAAGTAACCTTTGCCCGGGGTTTATACTGCTTTTGTGTCGAAAAATTGATCGACATCACAGACTTCCAAAAATTTCTCATTATTGCTTCTCATTTAATTTTTTGGAACACTACACTCACAAAATCCTTGAGGTTCTGAGTAACACCAACTTAGGATTGTAACATCCCGGAATTTCAAGAGTAGAGTTGAAGGGCTAAAAGAGTAAGTTTCGGAGGGTGACTCGGCGAGTCCATGGATAGACTCGGTGAGTCAGGTCGCGACTATGGTCGCGTATCAAGTGGCCTACTCGGCGAGTCCAAAGATGGACTCGATGAGTAGGTGCTGTATGGAGAAAACCCTAATTTTCTGGGTTGAGGCCTATATAAAGAGCATTATGCCCCCTCTACAGCCTCCCTTATTTCCCCCTTGAGTCCCAGAAACCCTAAATTTGTGGAGAGTCCCATTGTTGAGCAAATTAGAGCTTGGAGAGGTGTTGGTTGAAGAAATCTTGAAGGAGAAGTGGCTTGGATCAAAGGGCTTTGCTTGGATTCGAGTTTCATTGCTGTTGAGGCATCCTTTGGATGTAATACTTTCGTTCTTGGGCTGTGTTTTCCTAGTTTCTCATTTTGGGGTTGTGTGGGGAGCTTGGTTGTGTGGCATCTTGATGTTTGGAGGATGGATCTGAGGTTGCTACCTCAAATCTGGAGTGGAGAAGATCTTAAGAGCATTAAAGCCCCGGTTCTTGTGTTGTTAATGGAGCTATCATGTCCCAAACCTTGGTTCTAAGGTGAATAAGGCCTAGATCTCTTTAGATTCACGTAAAGTTTGCCACTTTACGTGATGGATGGATTGTAGGAGGTTGGATCTATGTTTTGGATCAATTGCATGGCCTGAGATGCTTCTGTATGGATTCAGACCAGTGGTACTCAACGAGTCACATGGGTGGACTCGACGAGTTGCTTGAAGATGGCCTGGAACTCGACGAGTTGGAAGAACAACTCGGCGAGTAGGTTGAAGATAGCCTTGGACTCGGCGAGTCTGTTCTTGGACTCGGCGAGTCTTGTCGAGGAGTCCCAATATTTCTGGTTGAGTCGAGGAATCGGCGAGTCAAGGGATGACTCGGTGAGTTGGGTGCGAGTGGACTCAGAGTTGTTGGACTCGACGAGTCTTGGGGTGACTCGACGAGTTGGGTCGCTGATTGAGGAAGTTCTGAGCATAGGGACTCGGTGAGTCATCGGGTTAACTCGGCGAGTAGGGTCAGTTAGGGGTTGACTTTGACTTGTCCAAGGTTGACCAGTTGTCTTCTAGGGGTATTTTGGTAATTAAGGGTATTTATTGAGTTGTATGTTTTGATGTTCAGTAGAGGAGTTCGTGTCAGAGTTCGGAGCAGCGGGATCTTATCCTTTCAGCCGGCAGTTTCGAGGTGAGTTATCCTCACTATATCAACATGGTCTAAGGCACCAAGGCCGGCCCTTTATTGGATTGAGATTCGGATATGGTTATTATGTTATTGTTTGATGTGTCTGCATCCTGGTAGCTAGGATGGTACATGCTAGGAGACCTTGTTAAGGTCAGTTTCCTGATATATAGAGTGATGCTATGCTAGTGACCGGTTAGGTCGGTAACCTGGTTAGGGTAATGATATGCTATGTGATCTGCTTGCTCGGTTTGTTGACTATGGCTGTTATATGATTGTATGTTTTGTGCACATGGTTGTTTGGACTGGAGATGGGTTGAGGCGGGTCCTACTTTGTGCTGTAGGCCAAGATACCCAGGGCGGACCGGTTATTCCGAAGGCCCAGCAAGCGGTCCGGATAGGCTGTAGGCCCCACGAGGGCGGACCAGACGTGCCGAGGCTTGGAGAGTGGACCAGGCCGACTAAAGGCCCGATGCGGGTGGACCAGTCACACTGTAGGCTCGGAGAGTGGACCAGGTGGGTGTGACCAGTGTAGACTCAGAGAGTGGACCAGGTGAGTTGAAGGCCCAATGCGGGCGGACCAACCCCACTGTAGACTCGAAGGACATGACTAGACCTGGAGGATGGATCCGATGGACTGAAGGCCCGATACGGTGGACCAGTCACACAGTAGACCCGATATGCATGTCTGTTCTATGTTCTGTTATGTTATGTATGTTTTATATGTTATGGGCCGGAAGGCAATATGTTTTGGACCGGGAGGTCGCAGCCTGGAAGGGCGTATACGTGGTTGGTATTTTGGGGGTATCTCACTAAGCTTTCGGGCTTACAGTTGTGGTTTAATGTTTTTTTCAGGTTCTTCAGGAGACTGTGGCAAGGCGAAGGCGCGATCGTACCGCTCCTCATGATTTTGTAGCAATGTGATTCTGGGAATACTCTAAATGATTTGTATTGAAAACCTTTTTGTAAACAATTTAATGAAAATCGGGTTATTTTGAAAAATTTAAATTGGTTGTATTTTTCGGATGTTACAAGGATGATGATTTCGAACATTTGGCAAATGACTTTACTTTAAAACCCAAAAGTAAAAGAGCCTTACTTCCATTCGAAGGGTTCTGATGGTTATAGTTCTATTGGGGCAAACAATGCAACTTGTTTTATGGTGACGTATGGTATTCTGTCCAGGTTTCAAGGAGACGTGACAATTACTTTTTTCACACGTGGCTATTTTTATGGGGTAATGGTCCGCTTATCAAGGTGCCATGTCAAATTTCATTAAATGCACATCCCGCTTCAAATTCAAACTCCAGGGTTACATATAAAAGGGGATTTAAGGATTTGTTATCGGTTTACCCTTTCAGAAGAAAAGTTCCCAAAATTCTCTCTGAAAAAAAAATTCAACTGTTTTTTACACGATTTTCCAACCCTAATCATGGCTACTCAAACTGATGTTCCGTCCCAAACAACTGAAGATGTTACTTCACAACTAATCATGAAGATTCAAGGAACTAATGACCAAGTAGAGGCTGATGTCTCTACTTATCCGGAAGAACTCAAGATGTTGATTGTCGCTTTACAAAGTTCAGTTCTATCCACGGCTATGTTTCAATCTTTTGTTGTTCCTTTTTCTCGGTTATCTCAAGCAGGATAACTGCTACTTACAACAAAGCTTTGGATGTCATCACATTCAACCTGGTGAATGATAAGAAGGTTAGACTATCTAAGAGGCTATTTTGTCAAATAATGGAAATCCTAAATTCTCCACCCTACTTTGATCTTCAATTTCCCCAAATCGTACACATGTTCAATGAGATGTGTCATAAACCCCAACTTACCAAGATCAGTGATTTTAAGAAATTTGGTCTTCCAAGCATTTGGAACTTTCTCTTTAGAATTTTTCTGAGATGTTTGACTGGTCGAACTGTTGGTCTTGACAAAGGAAGGATGGACGTATATGCCATGGTTGTTGGGCTATACTATGATATTTCGATGGAATATTCTACATATATTTGGAAGGAATTCCAAAAGAGTGTTGAAAACATGAATTCAATTCAAGGCATTTCATGTGCAAGGTATTGGAGTTTGATTTTGCAACAATTTTTTTGAGAAGGAAGGGATTTTGGTGAATGCTGAGGAGGAGAAGGTTGAATTCTGTACATACAATTATTCGAAGAATATGAATGATGATGCAGAGGAGTTTCCATTTGTTGCACATATTTTAGATGCTATGTTGAGGCGTGTTGATCATACGAATGTTGTTTTGGTGGCATATTTGAAAAACATTGATCCTAATGTTCAAATGGGGATATTGTTGCAAAGGGAAGAGAAGAAGTCTAGACGTTTGAAGAATAATGAACCAGGTTCTTTTGAAAACCTTGTTACTAAAACTACGTCAAAGAAGTCTCCAAAGAAGAAGCCTAGTGAAGTTAAGGTGGTAAATGAAGTATTTCTATTCCGATTGAGCCTGGTATTGAAGATACTCACGAGAAAGTGGTTATTCCTTCGAAGACTGGTGTTTTTCGAAGAATAAAAATGAAGTTTAAGAATACATGACAATTTCCAAATCCTAAAGTGGTACGAAAGACTCATGTTACTCATCAGGGTGTCATTATTCGAGAAATATCGGATCCTGTTTCTCCATCGTCTAAGAAACAAAGGGCTGGAGATATGGCCTAACAAATTTCTCAAAGGGAGAAGAACACTACTAGAAAAACAGCCTTTTACGACGCTCATTGCGCATCGTAAAACGATCAGACGCCGTGCAAATGTGCGTCAAGGAAGGACCTATCATAAAGAGAGATAACGCGCTTTTGTGCGTCGTCTATAGACGACGCACATTTACGACGCACGGTTATGACACACAATGCGTATCAAGGAAGCCCCAGTCATAAAGGAAGATGACACGCATTTGCGTGTCTTAACATTACGACGCGCGTGTTTATGACACACAATGTGTATCAAGGAAGCCCCTGTCAAGAAACGTCATGTCATAAATGAAGACGACACACACTTTTGTGTATCGTAATTTTAATTTTTTTTTTAAAAAAAAATTTATTTATAGATTTACTGATTTTCAAATTAAAATTCCATTTCATGTCTCATAATAGAAAATAAAATACCATATACAAAAAATACAATACATTGCACAAAAGTTAATGTCATACAAATAATCATTCCAATAGTAGACAAATGTAATACATCAAATAATCATTCCAATAGTAGACAAATGTAACATTTCAACATTTTTTATATAATTAACTAAATTATTAGCCAAATTTCCTAAAATACCAATGTACTTTTCTATGAAGAGCATTAACACTATTCTTTGCCATCAAAAACTTCAAAACCTGCATAATTAAATTAATGTGCAATCAGCTACAGAAATTTGTGTGAACATATGGCAATAGAAAGAGAAGATGATAATCAGAAACAGAAATTTTTGGCATGCAAACCATAAGAATAATTGGAAGTATATGTATACTTCACGTTGGAGGTGTTAACTTTCTATCATTTTATAGCAATTTGTCTACTTAATATATAAAGACTCCAACAATAAATAAATATGTTATGTTACCTTGACACATCTCTACTGTCCAAAAGTATCCTCAAGTAGGAGCTTTCTTCATCTTTGGAAGCCTCTCTATTCCCCAAATCAATCAATCCACACACAACACAAGTGAAGTGGAGAAAGAATTAAATTAAACCTTAACTCACCTTCTATATGAAGCTTGTATAACCAGGATAACGCCAACTTTGACATACTCCAAACGGAAAGTTGTGGATTTGAACCAGCTCGTGATGTAGATGCAAGAAATTTGGAACAAGATGTTTGTATCTGTATGAAAAAGTGTTGCATCATAAGGTTTGTTTCTATTATAGACTGGAATAAGACTAAATAATTATGTTACCCCTACATTCCAAAAAAACAAATTTCACTATATTTATCAAATTTAACATAAGTTGTATTAAGCCAGGTTTTCTAGCTATCTATCCCTTTTTAAGTGCTTAAGTAAAAAAGAAGCAAGTGCATGTATGTATGTACCCACTCTAAGAGAAGACCCAATTACAACCACGAGTATGTTTTTCTCAAGGTCCCACAATATGATGATAGTTATCGCAGCAACAACCAATATAGAAGCATCACTAGAAAATGCAGCAACAGCCATATAACTTTCTTCCTGTATGAACCAACATCATGTCATGCCTATCTACATCTACTCCTCTCAATCAACTTATCTTCACCATTGCTAACCCAAACATGTAAAGCCACAAAGAACAATGATACAAACACAGATTCATAATTATAAAATAAATTAAAAAACATTACCTTAAAGTCACCACCATAAGAAGCACTAATAGCCATGACACGACTTGGATGGGAAATAATTGCAGAAACTATTGCATCCCTGTAACCATCACATGTTAAAAAAATGTTATACTGGAAAAAAAATTCTATATACATATTAAATAAAAAGATTTTATAAACAAAAAAAAACTATGGGGCACATATATAACAATAGACAGGGTAAAATCATTATTGTGTTGCCCACATTCCCAAAACTTGAGTGTTACAAAACCTCCTATTCCTTGTTCAGACATTCTGGTTTCAACAGTACCCATCACAGTGCCATGACACGAACAACAACAGCTTCTAGATGATCCCATAATTTCCTCACGAAAAATTCTCTATTATTTGTTAGTATCTGTTGGATACCTCATTGCAAAAAATTCTCTCCACTAAAATCATAAATTGGGACTCTGCATTGTAAAAACTAAAAACTAATTAGAAGGACACACATGTTCTTCTAATAAGTTTTCATTTGTTGAGATGTACAGTTCATCCCTAACACAGAAGTAGCACTTGAACAATATCCAATTTAGACCAAAATGAAAGCTAAAACAGGCCTGACCTGATCATTTTGGCTTGTTGAGATGAAATTGCACAAGGGTTTTTCCTGGAACTTTCACACATTGAACAAAGAAAATATAGTTTGAGATTAAATTTTATCTTGGTTTAAGATGTACATTTCATTGATAACATGAAATCTTGATCAATGACATGTAATATGAGAACGTCATAAAAGTTGTGTATGTACAAAAATAACAGAGTGAGGGCTTTTTGTTAAAATATTTGGAAGCAAGTTTTTGAATAATAACTTTTAACTTATTAGGTGAAATTTTGTGATCTCTTTCGATGGTCTTCCCTGTGGCAAACTGTTTAAATCGGAAAGAAAAATTTCAGACATACAAGTGATATTGGTGAACAATGGAGCAATGCATGATTTCATGTTCTGCTAATTGATCTTGCTTGATTGGATAGTACAAGGCCATTTAAGTGCTGACCTTACCTTAGATGGCTTAGAGATGTTCCCCATAACAAGGGGAAGGAGTATTTGCTAAACTTTAAAGGATTGGGATTGAATAGTATGGTTGTAAGACTGGGATGGGTATCCTTGCAACCAACTCATTTGCTGGCAGAGACAAATAGGGACCTGATTTAGTTAAAATTTAAACAAAATGGTAATTGGACTGGATTTAAAGATAATGGAAAAGGAAATTGGAAAAGTTTAGGTTTATTTTCCATGGTAATTGGTACCTCTTCTATATGACCATCTAAATGCTTCAAATGGAGCAACCAACATAACAAAAGTTTATATTTTTATGGTAGAAAGCACAAGAATCATGATAAGTAATAATTATAATATGTTGAAATAAATACCTTATAATCTTGCATAAACTCATAGTGATGAATTGTATCTGGGTTAGTGCTAGCAGCTCGTAGAAACTTATCTATACCATCTCGTGTTCCATTATCCATTACAACCCATATTAATTAAAAACAAAAAAACGGTATGTTATTACTTATTTTGCACCTATGAAGGTCATGATTTAATAAGATTACCTATAATGAAAGCAAGATCTTTTGTGTTCACATATTTACTTTAAAAGAAAGCAAATGTGTCTCCAAGGAATCAGATTAATGTTTCTAAAGCAGCTTTAGATACTTTCCAGCTTCCATTAATGGATCTTCAGTCTAACATTTACATTTAGAAAAGATTACAAGAGTAACTTCATCAAGCAATCTATTAGGGAGGGGGGTACCTGCAATAGCTTCTCTCCATGTGGATCTGGATCAACTGGCTTGACAATTCGTTTCCCATACTTAGAAACACCACGCACTACTTCCTCACTTTTCACTTCTGCCTCCTTAAGAAAACATAAAACAAAATAATTATTAAACAAAAAAAAAACAATTTTTGTATCCATAAAATGTAAAGAATTTATACTTTCTTAGCTCGTGCTTCAGCCTTCCTCTGTTTTTTGCCTCAATTTCTTTTTCTAAGAAGCAGGTAGTTTTTCCAACTCATCGTCTTCTTCGGTAGATGACTTTGAAGGAGAATCATACCACTTAATATAACATCTGCATCAAACAGTACAAAAAGAAAATCAAATTTCAAAAGATAATAACAGATTTTACAAATGTAACTGAATCATCAGCATTACCTTATAGCTCCAACTGCCGCCTTCCTATAGTAATTATGTGCATGAAGTCGATCTTGAAACCTTAAGATTTCAATATATGCCCGCAGAGTCATTTTTCTTAAACAATAAGAATGAACATCAAATTGACTACAACATTCAGAAGAGTTTGATTGTCTGTTTGTTATCTTATATATATATATATATATATATATATATATATATATATATATATTAGTTTTAAATACTCAATACAAAAGGTCTTAAACAATCATAAATCTTATTAATACTTTAATTTTTTTAATAAATATTTTAAATACTCGATACAAAAGTATCTACAGAATGTACAAACTTGCCTTTGGAACTGCTCGGTGTCAATAAATTTCAGTGCAGCTGCAATTCAAAGGAACAATTTATAAACTTTGATTGAAATTCCATCTCAAAATCGTGTTTAGAATGTAGCAAGCAGAATGAACTAAGCATGAATTAGTTTCATGCTCTTAAATATAAACCAATTAAAGTAACCAACATATCTATTAGTGTCAATCAAGATTCATGAACAGCTACAGTACATACATTATAGCAACTTACTATGAAAATCAACTACCAACATCAAATTAATGGTTTCTTAACTTTTCAGTGGTCCACAAATTTGTATTTCCTTCTGTCTTTTCATTTTCTTCATTTGAGAGAAGCAATTTATCAAATCATTGGATTTGGTTTATACTTCTTCAACATACAATGAATCTTTAAGGTTAGATAGGCACAGATAATAATATAAATACTGCATTTGAGTGAATATAACTAAAAAATCACATACGAAAAGTGAAGTGGCTTAATAACAAAGTCAAAACCTTAAAAATAGATTAAAAGAGCTATCATGATTTAAAGAGTTACTTTCACATATTTAACTAAATACATCACAAGAAAATGTATGATTCTGAGGAAATTCAAAATAGAGCTACACTAAAGCTACAAATACCAACTAATATAACACATAGACAAGAATATCGTCAAAATTATAAAATAAATTGAATAAACACCAAGGTAATCATCTGTAATACCAAACCTAATCAATATTCAACAGTTAAAAGTAGCAAGATGATCAAGGCCTTTGGTTGAGTGAAAATATAAAAAAAATAAAACTAAAAATAATAATTATGCTGTAAAGACCCCTTACAAATCCAATTGATTCTGCATAGTAACCTTACATTTGGTGAAAATTAAAGTCATATGTCTCATTGAGGCATTTCATCAAACAGGTGAAGTGCAATTTGGTTTTCTACTAAATTCATAAGTATAAATGGAAGCACTTATTCTCTGCACCATATTGATGATCTGGATAAAATTCCCCATAATATTCATCAACAAAGGACCTAGTTGACAAAACAATTTGACCCAATTGAAAAACTTACAAATATTTTAGGGCTATGAACCCCAAACTAGGGGGAGGGGTTGCACAAACCGACCTCTAGGATGATTTCTGAAATACCAAGGGAGATTTCTTTTTCTTTGTGCATATATCCCAATTATGCTGTAGAAGGTTTTTTTTTTAAAAAAGTGTAAATTGAAAGCACACTCCAGAAGATGCGTACAGGGTAAACACCTAATCAATTCAGAGATATTTTAGAGTTGGAAACTGAATTAAAATAAGAGAACTTACCTTCCAAATGTTGCTTGAGCCTGTGGAACTGCTCTTGTAGGTTACAAGCTTGTGAGTTGAGCAACAAAAAGCCAAAGAACACAATATGAAAATATTCAGTAACATGGGTTTACCTACTGTACATGGGTTCTTCTCCATCATCTAAATAACGGTTGTTTCCTAAACAAATCCATTAACAGAGTGATCAGAAAAAAAAAGAAGCTAATTACGCAAACACCAACGGGTTAATGAAGGAATCAAAGGTATTTCTTATAAAATTGTCTTTTAGGGGGTCAATTATAGAGATGTTTGATGGTTAGAATAGAAGAACTGATGAAATATGTTCCATATTTCCTTGAAAAATGAATGACAAAACCAATAAAAGAATGAAATGTTGTGATTTTTTTTTACATAATTACATTTTGTTGAAGAAAAACAAACCAAATTGATGGCGTCAAACCTGGAAACAGAGCATGGTAACCCTAAACAGATCGATTTCAGTGTTCGTATTCAACTTCAACTGGGACAAAGAAGTTGAATGGTATAAGGTACAATTGGTTTGTGGAGGCAGGTGGAGAGAGAATGATAGCGACAGAGGGAAAAGTAGACGACGATGGAGTAAAATCAGGTCTCCATTGGGAAGAAGTAGATGGCGAGTGAGTCGAGGTAGGGTTTGTGGAGGCTTCGCAGTCGGCAATAAATCGTTTAATCAGAGAGCAAACGAAAGGAACTGGGGTAATAACCCCCAAACTGGAAGCAACTGAATTTCGGAAGGGGTAGGGGGAAGAGGTGAGCGGAGATCGTCGATGGGAAGTGAAGCTGTGGATGTTTGAGAATCGAGAGAGAAGAAAGAAAAAAGGGGTTTTCGGCAGGGACGAGCTAGGGTTTTCAGGCGGTGGAAACAAAGAGGGTTTTTAATTTTTGTGATTTCAATTCCCCCCGGGATGGACGCGTGTTTGATTAAAATTTATAAAACGACATGCTTAGACAACACACGTTTTATTTAAGGTGCCCTCCGTGTTTTTTTATTAGACACTAATTTTGGGGCATGCAAAAATGCGTATCCTGAATCCTTTAAATTTTTGGATAGATGACATTATTGTTACATCACACACTTTTGCGTATCGTAAATCCGTGCGTATCGTAAATTGCGCGTCGTAAAAGGCTGTCTTTCTTGCAGTGGAAGAAGACACAAAAGCTTGGTATGACAACCGAATCCACAGAAGATGAAGATGAACGAATTCCTAAAACACCTGAAGTAAATCTTAACAAGGAAAGTTCAACTCCTGAGCAGACAATGGTCATACCACCCAAAGATTTGTCTTCCAGGTCATCTCATGAGGAGGCAAGAACTTCAGACATCAATGCAAACATATCTCATACAGATGTAAATGTCAACATAGGTGAAATAGATTCGAATACAGACGCTCAAGGTAATCCTAATTCTATTGTTTCGTTGCCTCCACAAATGACACCAATTACTTCAACCATAGACTCACCCACATTCGAAAATATTATTAATCAACCTTTTACTTCCATTTTTTCTTCTCAATCTACTGATCCACCTAAAACCAATTCCCCTGTTAAAGACTCAATTCTTATGGAAACTGATATTGACAATGATGGTTTTCGAGGAACCTTTGAGGAATTGGAGTTTGATAACGAAGAAGAATATTTTCCAGATCATAGGTTGATGATGATGAAGCAGTTTAAGATTTTGAATACGAAGTTGAATTCCATAATTCAATCTCACGCTAATCTGGAGGGTGGTTCGTTGGTTTCAAGTTTGGAAGTTGATACTATGTTGAAAATGTTTGAAGCAAAGGTAGTGAGTAAAGTCTCTGGGATAGTTAGAGACTCGGAATCAAGAATTTTGGAGAAGGCTGATCATAATGATCAAAACATTGAGCTAAGGGTGAATTCTCTAAATTCAACATTTTTGGGGGAAGTTAAAGAATTAAAGAGACTGGAGAAGGACTGATATATTTTGTTCATTCAAGATATCAAGAAAGTCCGTGAAGATGTAAATTTGCAGATTCATAAGCTTCGCGAAGATATGCAAAAAGAGATTGTAAGTGTCCAACAGGATTAAGCATCTCTGAATCAGAAGATTGACATTATTTGTGATGTTACTACAAGATTTGTCAAGTTGTACGAAAGTTTGAGTCCTCAACTTTCTACAACGGAAAGTAAAAATTTTCTGGAAGTGATTAATATGCTGAAGAAAGAATTATCTGTCAAGATGGTTTCATCTTCTCTCATAATTCCTGAATTTTGGTCTCAAATTCACACAATTTAAAGCTATTCTATACAAGCAACTGGCCCCTCTTTCAAGAATATTGAGCCTTCTACCAACAACAGATGCCCCACCTGTGTCCACAGGGGTGCAAGGGGGAGAAAGAAAGGTTGTGTAACATTCGGATTTTCAGGTACATTATTTAATTATTATTTTTTTGGGATTTTGAGAGAGACTTGGAGAGTCGATGCTTAGACTCGCCGAGTAGAGTCGCAAATTTTCATCCGGGTTAATGACCGGACTCGGCGAGTCGATTAGTGGACTCGGGGAGTCCGTGCTGTTTAATGAAACCATAATTTCCGGGGTTTGAGACCTATTTAAAGGACCTTATGGCCTTCATTTGTGGCTACCAGTTGATAGAGAGAGACCCCAGAGTGTGTGGGTGATTTTGCAAGAAGAAGGTGACCGAGGCAAGAGGAAGCTAAACAGGGAGCTAATCTATGGATTTCAGAGCTTAAGGACTTCATCTTGAGGTACATATTCGATCCTACTTCAGTTTTGGGTGTTAGACCTTGAGAGTTAGGGTTTCTTGCCCATTTAGAGTATGATTGTTAGTGCAATAGGTCCCTTCTTGTGTTAAGGCTTCGAAAATGGATCCAAAGAGGTCCAGAGACCTTAAATCCTTGATCTTTATTGAGTGTCTCGGAGAGATATGAGTTTTGGATGGCATATTGAGGCCATTTATTCAAATAGAGCCATGGGGTCCTTGCATGGGCATCAAGATCCAAACTTTACGTGTTTTTATTGCTTTAGGAGGCTAGATCTATGAGTTAGAGGAACGGATCTGACCTCAGGAGCTCATTTGAGCTCGAGCATGGCATGAACTCGCCGAGTCCCAAGAACAGACTCGGCGAGTCTGGCTAGGGTTTCCCGTAAGTCACTCAGTGAGTAACTTGTCGAGTTGGGGGAATGACTCAGTGAGTCAGAAAGGGGTAGAGGATTACAAGTGGAACTCGCCAAGTCCATAATTGAACTCGACGAGTTGAGTCGGGGTGGCCCCGCGATTCATGCCAGGTGTAACCCATCGAGCAGGGGGAAGGATCGACGTGTCATGAGAGGCTAGAGAGATAGTCGACAAGTGTAGACTCGCCGAGTCGCCCAAGTGCACTCGACGAGTCAGGTCAAAGTTTGACCGTTGATTTTATTCACTATTAGGGATTCGTCAACAATTGGGTCTTTAAGTCAAGAGAGGGGTAAAATGGTCTTTTACCCATTTGAGGGTTGGGTCTAGTCTCGAGAGTTATATTTATGAGCGTATTTTACTTTATGTGATTAGGTGGAGGCTAGACTATACTGCTACCTAGTCAGGGATTTACCGAGACATCTGAGGTGAGTCTTCTCACTATACTTTACCTTGAGTGGTAATTAGAGTTATGTAACAGAGTTATTGTATGCTATTTATGTGATGTGTTGCACTGCATTATTTCTATGTGATTTATGCCATGTGTATATCAGAGTACATCATAGTTAGAACCGGAAGGTTCACAGACCTAGGACCAGAGGGTCCACAGAGTTAGGGCCCAAGGGCCCACAGAGTTATAGCCTCGAGTGGCTAGTATTTGTTACGTGAGGTATTTTGGGGAACTCACTAAGCTTTATGCTTACTGTGAGAACCGTCAAATTCTGGTCAAGTCAAAGTCAAATAAAGTCAACAAGTCAGACCGGTCAACCCAACTAACCCTTGTGTACTAGGGCTCATGTTAGGTAAATACTATACAACTCGCTATTCTAATGAGAAGTCATAAATTGAAAAGTCCGTACATCTATATTTCTTTAACCTAAAACCGTGGTAAGTAACGAACCAAACCGATAAAACAATGTTGCATACTCATCGGGAGTGTGTAAGGTCCTTAAATATGGTTTAACGAGGTTGACAGACCTTGCATTGTGAAGCCGGACACTCACAAATGTTACACACGAAACCTCTCTCAATCGTTTTCACTTTATCTCTCTTTATCTAGAATCTCTCCCAAATCTCTCTAAGCATGTCAAATCTCTCCAAAATCTCTCTTTATATGATAAATCTCTCCAATAATGTAAAATCTCTCCCAAATCTCTCTTTGTATGAGAAATCTATCTATGTATGTGAAATCTCTCCCAAATCTCTCTTTGTATGAGAAATCTCTCCAAGAATGTGAAATCTCTCTCAAAAGTTCCTTCAACTTTTTATAGTCTTTCGGGCAATCCCGGCCCTTAACCGGGTCAAAAACGGTTTAAAATGGGGTTAAAACGAGTAAAATAGGCTTAAGGACCTGAAACCCCTCTTAAGGAGCCAAACCCTCTCAAGGAGCCGAACTTGTTAGAAGCGAACCTCCTTTCGGGCCCGAACCTCGCACAAGACCCGAACCTCGCATCTCGGTCCATTTTGCCTCTCAATCCATTTTGCCTCAGGGTTCCTTTCGCTTCTTACTGTTTCGCTTAATCTCGCCTCTCGCCCAGCCTCAGGAGGACCGAACCTCCAGCCAGGACCGAGAGGTCTCACTGGAAGTTCGTTTCTTTCCGGTTTTCGACTACGACTTCATTTTAGCTTCGTTCTTCATCATCTTAACGCAGGATTTTCAACCAAAACTTTATTTTAACATATAAGGCCCCATATTTACTAATTAACCACGTTTTTGGGGATAAACCTTATCCAAGAAGAGTGGGTGAAGTACAAGAGGTGGAGTGTTGACTTTGCTTTAATCTATGATACAAGCGACCTCCCACACCCACTCCATGTCACTATTCCACATCAGCCCATACCTAGTCACTTCATTGTACTTTTCCCACCTTTTTCCAACCTCAAAATTGGTCAAAGGCTAGAAAGCTCTCCTCTCTCCTCACACTTCTCTCATATTCTCATTCTTCCACCAAAGATCAAGCATATTTTCTCTCTCACTTCCTCTCTCTAAAAATTCGAGATTCAAGGGCTGATCTTAGATTTTTCCTCCACATTTGGTAAGTATCTTCCTCCTACACTTAGATATTCTACTATCCTTCATCCAAATCATAGATTGCTTACACAAATATCGTCATATTTGTTGTTAGATCCTCAAATCTTCAAGCATCTCCCAAGTGTTCTTGAGTTGAACACTTCTTTTCTCCATCATCCATCCACTGAAATCACTCAAGGTGAGTTCATACCCCTACATTTTCATGTTTTCTTAAGTTTTTAGGGGGGAATACAAGTTAAATCACCAAGAACATAACTAAACTTTTCTAACAACTTTCATCAGAAAAGTTGGACTCCATTCACGGACTGTTTTGGACAACTTTAACATTTTGGTTTTCAAAACTGTTTTAGTTGCAAGTATTTCCAGTTCTTAGCTTTAAAATGACTACTTGAACATCTCCATACGATTTTTCTACAATTTATGGTGATTTTTACAAAACTGCCTATCATTTCAAACACCAATCCGGACCAGTCTGTGATTATGGACTTTTTCACCCAATCTGGAGGTCATTAAAAATTATGAGTAAACTAGAAATATTTTGGGAACTTTCAGAATTTACGGAATTAGTTTTCGACTTCGTATGATTTTTCTATGACATTTCTAAAACAGCGCAGAAAGGTTAAAATTAGTTAACATCATATAACTTTCATAACACTTTGTATTATGTTGAGCAAAGTGTATAACAAAAGGTTCTAAATATTGAATGTGTTTCCTTGTTAGTTTATCATCATAAACTGAAACTTAGTCATTCATGATAAAATAATTCATTCATTTAGAACACGTATATTAAGCTATAATAAGCATAATTTATGGCTTCATAACACTAATGCATTTTCATAAAAGAGTTCTTATACATTACTAACGTTTTGGATAAACTATAATAGGTATAGTTTATGTATCATTTACTTCTCAAACTTAAATTACCAAATGTTTTCGTTTTAGTTCACATAAATCTGTTAATGAATAAATTTGTGAGTCATTCACTTCGGGTTACTTCCAAAGTAACCAATTCAAAAAGTCCTGTAAATTGTAACCAGCGTCTCTTGTAGGGAGAACGTGATAGTTGTGTATAGATCTATATTGGATTTGACAAACCCACACCAGAGCTGCTTGCAACAGCTAGACCGGCAAGTCTGTGGTGACAAGTGTCATTTAATGGCGACGCCTGAAGAACGTCGCATTACGAGGCTGTCTAAGTCAAGTATGATTATAATAGCTCACATGTGGTATTAACAAATCATAAGATTTACGGGTTCTAACTTTAATTTAGCAAGTTATGTCGATTTAGCTCACTGAAATTACTTTAAGTATGAAAAAATACTTGTACGTCTTCATATCAAAAAGGGTTTTATGTTGATTTAAAGTCGCTTTTCATATCAATAACTACAGATATTGCTGTATATTTTCAGTCTTGGTATTTAAGACTACACACCATTCATTACGGGAGTTTTCTCAAATCAGAAAGAGTTTTTACGCCAAGTTGAAACCACTTTTATATCTTTAAGTATGACAAATACTTGTTCGTTTTCGGTACTGGTATTTAGGACCACATAACTTTTATAAGGAAAATATTGGATTTTTCTTAGTAACATACATCTCTTTACAAAGATCGATTGTCAAACTCTTACTGTCAAAAGCTTATGAACTCACCAACCTTTGTGTTAACACTTTTCAAAACTACTTGTATTCTCAGTAATTCAGTGAAATAGGAAATCAACAGTGTTTTGAGGATGGGACGATAAATCGTCAAAC